CCCCCCCCCAACACACACACACGCACACACACAACAACTATGGATGCTGCCCAGCCTCTCCTCTTCAAGGGCTGCTGGCTTACCGGTCGCTAGCGCCTCAATACGCTCCATACTGGCCTGCCTCTGCCCCAATGACTCCGCGCTGCTGCCTGACTAGGTCAGGGCCCGGGTAGGCCAGTCACGCTGGCCTCCTGATGTTTACAGAGACCAAGACTCAGGATGTTTTTCCTGGTTCAGGAAAAAAGACGGATGACGGGGTTCACATTGACATGTGCTACTAACCTCTGTTGTTAGAAGAAGTTGATCGAGGTTCTCTAGAAACTTCTCAAAACTCTCATGCTCGTTCCAATTATGATCAAGCAAAAAAAGGAGCACAATTGGCTGCCTCCCAAGCCCTGCAATCTTCAGAACAGCCTGTAGGTCCTGAGCCCACTCATTAGGGCCATAGGCTCGGTGCACATCTACCTGCAGTGCAGCAGAGGACAAGGATCACATCAAAAGCTGGTCAGATCTTTCGCATGACCTGGAAACATTGATGCAGATTAGAGTCTCTGGGTTTGTTTGTGTTTTCGCTGTGCTCCGAGCTGCTGCGATCGTCTGAGTTTTCTGCATATGAGTCCTTGTTTATGTGCTCATGTTGTGGCTGACCTTGGGTTGTCTGCGTCACTAACCGTGATTTGTTTGTGAGCTCACCTGACAGGTGTGCAGTCTTTAGATTCCTTGGATATGTGTTTATATGCTTAGTAAGTTAGAACCCTTGGTTTGTCTGTGAGCTGACCTGTGACTCGAAGGAGGACCCACTTGCAAATGGACAGAAGGACAAACATGTAAGTTGACAACAGAGAGAAAGAACGGAGAAGTCTTGAAGGCCTCATCCGCTCCAGAACAGGAGACTGTACCAGGATTCTCTGTAAGATATCATACATACATCTTGGCAAAGTCTCTCCTCGACCGCTTTTTTTTTTCTCCCCCCTAAGAAAGTTGCAATTTTATTATATATAAATTTTATAAAATCACTGAGGCCGGGAATTCCTCAACATCTCAACCCTGAGAGCACTGGGGTCATTACCCAGATTTGGCTTGAGCTGGAAACTGGGTCCAGCGTAAAACGAAGGTAGGGGAGGACATAGTAGGAGTAGAATACAGACTCTTACAAGGCAGAGAGATGGTTAATTGGAAGGCCCAAAATTTGGGGGGTTTCACTGCATCACCACAAGCGCTGTTGTCGAAAATTTCGTGAACAGACAATGCAGGCTCATAATACAAACATTAAAAAAAAAAAAGAGGCAAAAAAAAATGGAAAAAAAAAAAAACTCAAAAGCACTATAAATTTGTAAAACCCTATTCGGAGTATCTTCTGGAGTTTACCAAAAATTTCTCCGAATTTTGTGTTTTTGCTACCTGTAACCTTTTTCATTACTGGGCCAAATACGTCAAAAGACTCAAAAGACTCAAAAGACTCAAAAGACTCAAAACTGAATACAGATATACCCTAGAGCACCAAATACATTGAAAGTTCTCAAAAAAACTGAATAAACATATAGTAGTAATAGTACCCTAAACTTCCTAAAGCACATACATATCACAAAACTTGAAAAAAGCAAAAATTCAGGGAGACATGGCAGTTCCGGAGAAAAGTTCGCCGAAAATGACACCACCTATTAACCATCAGTGCCTTCATCGGGGTGCTGGAAACGAGAAACGATAGCTTTAGACTGTTTACATACATCAACAGCAACAGGAGCCAGCACATCTCAGCCTCTAGAATTGAGTGCTTCCTCACAACAGCGAGCCTGTCAGGTGCAATCTACTCTCCATGTGCAACACTGTAAAGATGTTTTATTTTTTAGAGTAAAGCCTAGAACATCTTCAATCATCTTGATGTGTAACATTTGTTTCCATTTTCTGCACCCTGCTGCTACCACCAGTAGGCCCAAAACATTTTCGTAAAAGAGTGCTACTGCTCCCCGAATTAAATCGTGTTTTTGGGGGAGTGGTGGTGTAATGTGTTTTTTTATGTTACTCCGGAATTTCTTCGTGGTAGCTCTTGTAAGGACACCACATAGCATTCCTCTTTTTTTCTTCGCAAAAATATTTCTCATAGCACAGAATACGTTCAGGATATTGTCCATTGGCATGTTATCCTATACGCCAATTGTGTTTTGTTTTCCACAAAAAAAAGGACCATTTCTAATTTGGATGTCATCGTTGATTGCGCAGGGGCCTTGCTAATCTTCTCTCTCCTTAGACAGCACAAGTATAAGATCAAACAGGAGAATGCAAGTTCTGTTGCACAATAGGGTTAGGCCCAAAGATGCAAAGGTGGCTAGCATTCTTGCACTTGGGTCATGAGGCATGAGGCATCCGCCGATGGGGTTAGGCCCGAAGATGCAAAGGTGGCTAGCATTCTTGAATCTTCACTCGCCACGGCCTCAGTTTGTGACGGAGGTCAGATCTTTCTTAGGGATTTGTGTGTCATCGTTGATTGCGCAGGGGCCATGCTAATCTTCTCTGTATCATTCCAATATTCACGGGTGTCTTCAAAGGAAATGTAAATCTGGCCCGCAAGCCGGAAAAAATTCAGGGGGTTTTCTCGTCTATGACGGCTGCCTTACCTCCAACAAATCATATCCCATAATATGTGCTGCCAGCTTGACCAAACACCGCCTCCCACTGCCGGAGAGGCCAGGAAGCATGGCATGTCCTGACGGCATCCGGAAGACCCTGAGAAGGCGGCTCAGATGCTCAGCAGCTTCTGGAAACAAGACAAGGGGTATGCAATATCCCTTCTCCACACTGTAACCTGTCAGTTGACTTTCCATTGTGCTTATCCATCGTGGGACATCGTTGACCTCTGTGTATGAGGAAATTGCCTGAACGGACCCGTCTGCGTTCATTGTCCGAGTGTAATGGCCAAAGACATGGGCATTGATAGGAGGAGGGGCTATACTAGTCTCCTCGTTGACTGCCTCGAGGGCTCCAAACTGTGACACCACAGCAGCTCTAAGTGCAGATTGGAAAACATTACGGTCTTCATCACTCACCAAACGGTCGGAGAATGTCCGATGGCACTCATGTAGCCACAGGCGCAGGAGTTGGCCCCGCGTTATTGTCTTGTCCAGTGTGGCACAGAGCAGGCCTTTCAGAAGGTGAAACAGGTCTCGTGGTGTGAATACGTAATGGGCCTTGGCTGGTGTTGGAAGAAGAGCCTGTCGAACACACACAAAAACCTCTGTGGATGCCCTCCCGATTGGTTGCACAAGCCTTCTCGTATCAGGTGCCAGATCACAGCAGCGTGCCTCAAGAATGACTGAGAAGATTGTTTGCAGAGCTGAGCCGCTCTGTTCCGGGAACATCAGCACATTGTAATGGCGAATTAAACGAGCAACCCCAGTCATAGCCAAGGGTCTCCTTCCCAGTCCAAAATTACCTCTTGCAAATCCAACTGCTCCTGCGGTTTCTTCAGGATGTGCTGCTCGCGAGGGCGGACCCACCCCTGAGCGGTGGTAGCTCCTCCTTAGCCTGAACCCTCTCATGGATGCCACGTGGCAGAGACCCTCCACCTGTGTGAAAAGAACACCACAAGGAATCGGAAAGTAACCCCCATGCTCTACCATCTGCCTCAACAGCTCCAAGATAGGGACCTGACCCCACTGGTCTGCCATGGGCATGTCAAGATCATCGATAAAGACCACCATGCGGCGATGTCTACATGGCCCCAAAACACCACGCCGCCTCATTTCTAGGTGATGGGTTACTGTGGAATGTATACTTCTTGGAGTGCTTGCAGCCCCTAGGCGCACATTCAGCGTGTCGCACTTACCTGCAGCCTGCAGCTTGCCCAATGTGTGTGACACTACTATACTCTTTCCCGATCCAACACTTCCACACAGAAGTACAGGTCTGTTACAGCGTAGTAGGCAGGAGATGAGCACCTCGTTCCTCGTGAACGCAGCAGTGGGGACCACCAAGTCACTTCCCAATGCTTCCATCTCTTCATTCACATGGCAATCGGCGATCCATCTCTTCTCTCTAATCAACTCTTGTAGTCGAACCCCTCCTCGTCTGTCAGAGAATTTGTTGAACTTGCCTCCTACTCCTTCCTGTTCAAGTCTATCCTTGCCCGGCCACATTGCAACTTTTTCACTCCCTAAGTGGTAACAACCCAGACCATGAGATGCCATATCCTCCCATCGGCGCCAGACGCATGCGGCAGTGTCATAATAGTAGTCAAACACAGTGCCCACCTCCTCCGGCAGGCCAGTCAACCTGATAATATCTGTTCCTGCAGTTGATTGAACCACTCGGTCAAAGCCACAGCGAGAAGCGTCAGTGCTCAGCATCCCACCAATTGACCAGGCCAGAGAAAATAGGAAACTGCTTGCAATCGCAGCTTTGATTCCTCTAGGATCATCTGCATCCTTTGGTCTACTTCCACTCCACTCATTCTGCTGTCGTTCCCAGTTGCCCCCCTCCACAACTGGATCACCGACCCAGTCTTCCTCCTCCCAGCTGGGGACAACAGTGGCACCACCTCCTTGTCCGTCCCACCTGAGCCCTGATTCCCGAACACTCCGTCCCCCACAGGATCCAAAGAGGTCAGCAGCTTTGTTGTTCAATCTTGAGAGGTGCAACCGTCTCCAGCTCACTAAGTCCCGTGCCTGCCTCTGCCACATGCTAACAGGCCGGTTCTTTCGATCCCTAGAATGCATCCATGGGTGCATTGCAATGCCCAGAGCTGCACCATCATCTGTGCATGAGGACAACTCTCTATCACCATGGGTGTTTGCCCTGCCGATTCCTCCACCCTGAGTTTCCTCCTCTGGCGAGAGCATGCCAGATGCAGTGCTTCTGCCAACTGGCCTCGACACACATGCAGTGGACCCTCCTGGTGAAAGCAATGCCGATTCTCTGTTGGTTGTGATGCAACTGCCACCTTTGCCTCTGATACTGGCTGCACCTGTCACAGCTGAGTCTCCCTCGAGTTTGCTGTCCCTACTTTGACTGTCTCTCACACTGAACTTATTTTCCCAGGCACCAGCATTCCTCAGAGATGCTTCCATAAGCCTGAGCAGCCCTTGAACCAGAGTGACAGGCATAAGATAACCGTAAAGCCACTGCTTGTGGGCTGACCCCATTTCTGGTTGTTGTTTGCTACCCACTAGCTCAGGATCAGTGTCTGGGTGTCCGACAAAGTCCAAGCAAGCCGGCAAACACCTGTCAAATAACCCCTCTAACAGGGTCCTATAGGGACGAGCTTGAAGGCTATCAGGGAGGCATTTTATCCAGGAGCTGACAAGAGGACGCCAGCCCACATCTTTGGCATCAACAAACACCATTCCACAACGGGATATCGTAGCTGGGGAAGCGGCGCACAGCTCCTCGACTTCAAATATAACACTAAGGATTCGATTGGGAGGTAGGGATATTCTCTCTCCACTTGCCAGGCATAGAGTTTTGGAGTCATCGAGCATTGTGTTCATACTCTCAACCCAGTGTGGATCTACAGGCCCATCCAGCACCACCCAATGGACATCGCGAAACCCTTTTAAACAGGACTCTCCATTGCACTTCTCTCCACCCAGGGCACTTCTCGTTGAGCTCATTGTGCCCCTGCTCCCCCTGTTTCTTCTCATGATGGCTGCCATGATTCCATCCCGCCACTCATGGGTCTTTTGGTTGATCCCACCAAACAAATGATCAATGTCAACAGCCTTGGGATTGATCACATCATATGTCAGCACGAGATCCTCTGCAAAGGGCCACGACGGCAAAGATGCCTGCTGCCCAGTTGGGGATTCCGTTCTACAAGCACTGCCATGTCCACCGCCACTGTGGGCTCCGACACTGCAAGGCCCATGCAGTGGCTGCTGAGATCTCGACAGCTGACTGATTGCATCCGCAAGTGTTTGTAGACATGCTGACTTTCCTGCCCCCGGGGTCCCAACGAGCATCACTCCATGCCGTAAGCTCATCACATCAAAGAGCTGCAAACACTTTTGCACAAAGCTTTCAGGTGCACACATATTCCTTGCCTCCAGACTGGTGCGCACACAATCTGCTAGCGCTTTGTGGACCGTGGATGACAGGGATGGTAATGAACCATGTTCAGGGAAAAGGTCAGCAAGCAGCTTTTTGAAGAGGGGAAGGTCTTGGCCGACGAGCTTTGGCAGTGTGCATTGAAGAAGAGCCCGCTGTAGAATCGTTTCCTCCTCCTTGACCAGATCTGCTTTAGAGAGGTCCCCACCCGAGCTCATTGTTTGCCCCATTCCCTGTCGCACGCGGTGAACCACCGCACCAAAGTGAGCTGCCTTCCCCATCCAACTAATAACAGTGCGCAAGGAGCGCATCCCAAAGTCATAGTGTGATTGCTCTTTGCTGAGCTGGTCAGCAGCAAGACGGAAACACAAGCACAACTTCACTGCAAGTCGATCAAAACAGGTGAAGCCCTCCGCGAGCAGCAGGACTCGGGCTATGGTCAGAGCATCAGGTGTAATCATTGCCACTGGCCTAAAAAGTGGCTTTAAGCTCTCTGGAAGCTCCATATAATGCTGGCCTCTCTGCCCCGGATTCATGGTCAAGCAGATGGCACAACTTGGGTCAAGTGGCACGTTTATCCCCTCAAAGATCAGGCGGTTGGACTCTGTCAATACAGCTTGCTGGATTATCGATATCTGGTGTCCGATAACTGACAGTCTGTCCCTACTTACTCTGTCAAATTCATCAAGGCACAACCAGACACCTGCACTTGCCATTCCCTACAAGAAGTTGCAAAAGAAGGAAGCAAAAGAGGCACAACTGCAAGTTATCGACCAGGGAAAAGCAATGTCAATTTCCTATGTTTGCAAGGGTGAAATTCCATCGATAAACAGAAAGTCGCCATCGATGCATTTCCAGACAAGGACACCACCTCACTACTGGGAATACAGACGCCACACAAATGGACGAAATTCCAGAAGGACAGCTTTCAAGAACTGCGCCAATATAGGCAGACAAACTCACTCAGATCCAGTGGAAGAAATTCAAGTCTATCAGACCAATTAAAATTAGAATCCTTCAATGGCTAATCGCCTATGTGGCACTACCGGTAAACCAATGGCTGCACATTAGACGAAAGGGTTCAGACCCCAACAGTTCCGATCAGTGCACGGTCTGCACAGAAGTAGTGGTAGAGGATATAGTCCACTGTCTACTACACTGTAGGGAGGCGACGGACTATTGGGCAAGAGCCTCGGCACTATGGGACTCCTTATTCCCGACCCCTTTCCCTGAACAACCCATTCAACTTCTCCTCCTGACTAACATTCCTGAGCAGTTCCAGAAGGCAGAAAGAATTTGGTTCGGAATCATAAGGAAGGTGACGCTATGGATCATATGGAAGGAAAGATGCAGMAGSACGATTGAAGGAGTGGCCAATTCACGYGAGAAGGTTTGGRCCGAGACAAAAACGATGATACAAGCTGAAATCCTCTGCAAATGGCGGAGGATCAAACAATCATGGACAGAGGATGAGGACCAACAAAAGAAGGCGAGACTGAGCTTCAGCAGAACTTGGCTGGTAWATGGCAAAGTGGCGGACCTAAGAGAAGACCGCATCTGTTGGAAAGACTGGCACGACTCAAATCCAGGGAGGGGCTACCAGCAACAAACAACGGTGGGCGGGTAAAACACACGCTGACCAAACTGCCACAAGGGAGACCAATGGCTGCAGCAACGGAGAGACAGTTCAGAGAGGAACGAAAGTGGTTCACGACATACTGAAGGGAAAAAGAAAAAAAAGAAAAAAAAAGGCACCGTGAGTTGACAGGCTAAGTTGCTTCAGGGGACTTTAAGAAATGCTAGGAAAGGATTTGGAGTTTATGTTTCTGGAAAATAAAAATTATATTTGAGGGTTTAGGGTTTAGGGTTTGGACAGACTTAGGGCTAACAGGGTTCAGAATAGCAGAGTTTTAATGTGGTTCACATGTGGGATTTACAGTTTAGAGAACTTTAGACAAAATTGGCAGCTTTGGCAGCTTCTAGGACCTTTCTCGTTAGTCATGCTTTATACGACAGGTTTTCGCAGTAGACCTGAGAGGAATGGATGAACCAGGGCAAGCTGACAGTCAATCCTCCACGATGTTGGAGCAATCAATGCTGGTCAGGGGTCCTTCGGCCAGACGGAAGGAAGCGTGGGTGAGTACTTATGATGTATCCTGTTATTCTGACTTGCCGGTGGAATAGGAACCGGACTGATGCTCCCCAGAATGGAAATGTAGCCAGGACCATAAGGGCCTGTTTTAATGAAAAAAAAAAAAAAAAAAAAAAAGAACTGCGCCAATATGCAATGTGGACCATCTGGAAGAGCAGATGCCAAGCAACAATAGAGGGGAAGCGGAGGCATGGCGAAGAGGCAAAGGCGGAGCTCAGGACTATGCTAAGGACAGACATCACAGCGCAATGGGCCTTAAAGCACCAGTACACCACACATCGGCCCGCGGGTGTCAGCACAAAACCCGCACCACTTCGGAGAACGCCATTTTTTTTTTTCAACGGCTTCCCATGCCGCGCAGCCCCTCCGAGTTTTGCTTGTGGCGACAAAAACTTTCTGCAAGGCCGGGGCCGTGTACTTGCGGTTCAACACGCAAACGCATGACTAGATCCCCAGATAAGGCCCAGCAAATGAAGGAAGAATTTATCAACATCGTTACGAGGAAGGGGAAAGTGGCGGATCGACAGGGCAACAAGCTGCAGTGAAAATGGTGGTCGCTCGGAGACACGGCGAACCCAACAGCCCACCAACCAGTACAACCACAGAGACAGAGGATGGAAGGGGCGGTAAAGGCGAGAGAAAAACAAAAACGAGTAAACTTCAGCAATGACGTAAGGGGATAGGCCATGCAGAAGAATGCAGGACGTTGCGTGGATGGGAAAACCAGGGGCACGGCTAAAAGGGGTTATAAGGGTAGGAGCTAGAGTAGGGTTTAAGGTTTAGGAGCGAGAGTAGGGTAGAGGGTTTAGGACTGGAAAAACATGGGAAGGGCAGATAGGGTAATAGACGGGGGCTCAGGGAGGGCTACCATAGGAATGATATGAGTAGAGAGATTCCTGTCTGCTTTTGGTGAAGGTTTTTTCTCCTTTTTGCTGTTGGTACTTTTGCTGCTCCAATTTCTATATTTTGATGTCCTCTCTGTCGCCCTTTTTGTATAGGAGTGTTACCATCCCTGTACTCAGGTCTGGGCCTAGTGATTCTTCTTCCCATGCTCTGGTGAGGAATCTGAGGAGTGGTCCTAGGATGTGCCAGCCTGCGATCCAGAATTCCTTAGATAGTCCATCTCTGCCTGGGGCCTCGTTGGGTTTGAGGTCGATAAGGGCTTTGTGTAGATCTTCTGAAGATATGGGTTCTTCTAAAGATTTGGCTGTTTCACTTGAGAGGGATTGGTCTAGGTGGGTTAAGAATTTTTCTCTTGCTCTATTCGTTGTGCCGTTCCCGCCTACTGGTGTTTTGGAGGTGTAGAGTTCTTTGTAGAAGGTGCTAAGAGATGGTGGACATAGAAGAGGAAGAACAAGAACTCTTTCTCTCTCTCAGTCCGGTACTAACCTGTAAAGGTGGCGCCTTGTTGCAGGTACATCGAAGACGAAGCTGGAGCTATGGCGCCACAGGTAAGTCTCTCTGGCCTCCGCCCATCATCTCTCTCTCTCTCTCCAACACTACTCTAGCTCCTACTAGCGCCCAGCGCTGAAGACTACTGCTAATGCTACTACTACTCCTGCAGCGCTCCTCCAGAGTGCTGCTGCCGAATCCTGAAGACTACCTCCTGCCTCCTGCACGTGAAGTGCCTGGGAAGTTCCTATGAACTGCCTCTTGACCACCTGCAGCCTGTAGGGCGGGCCAGTCTTATATAGTGCTGGCCCGTCCAGGAGGCTGCTCTTGCCAATGCCAAAACGTGTCATACCCTGGCGTTGAAGTTCAAACAAAGGTTGTCTTGGAAACAGGCCCAAAATGGCCTGTGCTAAAACCCTGGTCTGGTGCCTAAGTTTCAGGGCAGGTCGACTTTGTGAGGGCCTGAAAATGGCCCTCGTTTTCAGGCTTTTAGGCTGAAACGACACAGGGCCTGTAGGCCCTCGTTTTCAGGCTTTTAGGCTGAAACGACACAGGRCCTGTAGGCCCTYGTTTTCAGGCYTTTAGGCTGAAACGACACAGGGCCTGTAGGCCCTTGTTTTCAGGCTTTTAGGCTGAAACGACACAGGGCCTGTAGGGCCCTGAATTTCCGTCTGGTCGGGCCTTGCAGGCCCGTGTGGCTGCGCAGTATGCCACAAGAGGTCAACCACAGCCATCCCATACACCTTCTTCCTCCTTAGTCTAGTAGGTGGCTATGGCGGACTAACGGAGCAAATCTCCATTGTTCAAAGGACAACGCAAAGCCCATGTGTGCCTCCTACTATGGCCACGATGCCTAACACTACCCTGAAGTCTTCCTTGTAGAAGCCAACCGCAGCTGGGGCCTTCCCGGTGCAGCGCCAACCTAGAAGATGAAGATGCAGACCACCATAGTCAGGTAAGCACCACCGGCACTCTCCTCCTTGCTGACTGTCTTCCTCCTCCTGCTCCTTCCCCGGAGTCTCGTCCTTGGTCCTCTCCACCATAGCTAAGGTAGAGGGTCAAGCTGCCTTCTTCCTCCCCACTGTCCCCAGCGCTGCAATGCCAAGCGCTCGCTCCAGCAGCGTGGCGCCCAAGCCTCCACACTGCAAATGAGGAAGAACTCTTTGCTCTTCCCAAGGATATACGGCCTATTGCCTCTTTGAGCGGTGACTTTCCATGTCCCGTGGCCTGGCAAGCTACTGGTCCCTTCGTCGTTTCCGAGGGAAACATCATTGCAGTCTGGTATCCCTCACTGCAGGCCCTAGACTCAGACCACTAGACCAGTACCCGTAGACTCTAAGCCTACCGGACTCTAAAATTCCTTCGGCCTCCAGAGGTACTAAGTACTACTAACGTTTTTACTTCCTCTGCCTACCTACCCGCTAGTTGAGTGTTTTCCATCCTTCGTGGGCCTAGCCTACTTCTAAGTTCCCGCTGCATCCCCACGAAAAATATGAATAAAGCAAATAATTGACCCATCATGGCGACCGCGCCGCTCGGTTAGCGCAACACTGCGCTAGGCCCGTACCCCCACTCGATGCTCGTCGCCCGCAAGGGCAACCGTCACGCGACCCGTCCAGCCATAGCTGTAAGGCTACGTGTGCGTGCACGTGCGCGCGCCTCGTCCAGGACAGTGCCACGTGCGCGCGCGCGAGCCGAGGGTAGCCGTGATTTCACCCGAGATCCCTCGAAGAGTACAGTGGCTCGAGGTCCTGCTAACGTCTTCAGCGGACGCCCACATCATCAGCCAGCTAAGCCCCAAGTGCAGGAGGTGCACTTCCATAAGGCAAGAAGGAGACCATCAGCCGTCGACGAGGAACCATCGCCGAGTTCTTGAAGTATCTTCCTCCACACTTCGCCGTCGTAGCTATCCGATCGTCAAAGAAAGACCGGCCGAGAATCAGGGTCTCACTCGAGTGAGAGCTAAACGCTTCCCTTCCTCAATCCCAACGCCCCACTAACCCACCCCGGTCCCTTCTTGTTCCCCTCATCCATAT